TTTGGAGGTTTCCATTTTAGATTTTGTTGCCTTTTTTTAACACAAGTATGTTTATTAGCTACTAGGTAGGTATATTCTACCGCTTGCTGAGTTGTTAATTTAACTGAAGCCGTGTTCGTAGTATGCCTATAACAGTTGTTATTATGTGCTACCCATATATTTCATAAACTTAATGGCAAGTATGTAGCCGGGTTCATGTGATAAGGTAATTGAAGTTCCTTACAAGTTATGAGGTCATGTACCCAATTACAAGCATTTATGTAGGGTATTCTTTGGGTAATAAAATGAAGTATACCCAATTCCTGCCAATATGTTTTAGCGTTTGTGCAGTCAAAGAATAAGTGCCTAATAGTTTCATTCTCTTGGTGACAGAATTGACAAGTAGCATCTTGAAGTAAATTAATATGTCTAAGGTAGTCCTTTGTAGGAAGTCGTTTCCTTTGAAGAAGCCAAATGAACCCTTTGATTTTGGGTTGGACAAGAAGTTTCCATATCCAATTGTATTTTGTAGAATTATTAGTAGATTCAAATAGCTGCGCTTCCAAGACTTTATACATAGCTCTAGTTGTGAAGTGGCCCGTTGGAGTTAAACCCCAGAAGATATTATCTACCTTATTACCATATTTGCAAAAATAAGTAACTTGAATTATGTTTTTAATATTAGTGGGTAACTCAAATGGGAATTTATTCCAATCCCATCCCTTATTATATATTAAAGAGGAGATTGTGATATTGTGGTGGTATAACGGAAGTGGGCCCTGAATTTTTCATCTAATCGTTGTGCCAGGCCCAATCCAAGGGTCTTCCCAAAACTTAATATGTGTGCCTTTTCCTATATTTCATTTTATTCCTAGTTGACAGTGATGCCAGCCATTGATAACATTAGTCCAAATTTGTGAATGAATATTATTGGGTGATGTATTAAGATATTTGCGTATGTTAGCCCACACTGCTTGTGGTGTCTTAAAAATCCTCCAAGCTAGATTTGCTAGTGAAGCAAGGTTCTTTTGACTTAATTTTTGAATTCCTAATCCTCCCGCTTCCTTTGGTAAAGTTACTTTCTTCCATCTCACAAGGTGTAGTTTCTTTTTTTTTTCTGAAGTTGTACCCCATAAAAAATTCCGTTGATATTGTTTCATTTTATTAACTATGTGAGCCGGAATATGAATGTACTGCATGATATGATTTGGTAACTGGTTTAGAGTAGATTTTATTAAAGTGGCTCTACCTGCCAAAGTTAGAAGTCTAGATTTCCATCCTGCCAGCTTATTTTTGAAATTGTCTAGGAGGAACTGGAAGTCTGCATTTTTGGGTCTTGTTCGAAACATAGGAAATCTCAAGTATTTACCAAAAGAGGTTCCTTCTTTGATGTGGAGAGAAGTAATTACAAAATCTTCATCGAAGGAGCTATAATTTTTAGAGAAGAAGATTTTTGACTTTTCAAAATTGATTTTTTGCCCTGAATGTTGGGAAAAGTTATTCAAAACATCAATGATTGCATGAAAACTATTGGTAGTAATCTTAGAGAAAAGTATAATATCATCTGCGAAGAAGAGGTGAGAGAGTAGTGGACCTTTGTTAGATAGTCGAATTGGTTGCCACTTTAGATAGTCAACTGATAGGGAGATACTTCGTAAAAATAATTCCATGCACATTATAAACAAGTAGGGTGAAAGTGGATCCCCCTGACGAATACCTCTTGTTGGTGTAAAGTATTGAGTTTTTGAACCGTTAATTAATATAGAAATGGATGTGGTTGTAATCTGTCAAATGCTTTTTCTAAATCAAGTTTCAATAACATTGACGGATATTTGCCTTTCATTTTAGCTAAGTAATTTAAGGCTTCTTGTACTATTATAGCATTATCACAAGCTCTTTTGCCTTGCTGGAAACTAGTTTGAGTAGGACCTATAATTTTACTAATAGTAGGTTTGAGCCTATTAACAATTATCTTCGTAATAAGCTTGTAAACAGTATTGCAAAGACTAATAGGTCTAAATTGTTGAATTTTTGTAGGATGCTTAATCTTAGGAACAAGGCATATAAGGGTTTTGTTTAATTCTGGAGGAATGATCTTTGAGCAGAAGATATCATGACAAAAGGAACTAACTTTATTACCTACATCCAACCAATATTTTTGGTAGAAAAATGGGTGTAACCCATCTGGACCTAGTGCTTTATACAGCTTAAAACTGTGTAATGCAGACATAATCTCATCTTGATGAAGAGGTGAGTCAAGACCAAGTATATCATTAGTAGAAATCTGGCATTTGAAAGTATTCATGGTACTCTTTGTCGACATTAACTGATCAGTTTGGAAAAGCTCATTGAAATAATTGTTAATTAAACTGTGAATTTCACTAGTGGTAGAAACCCAGTTGCCCACATTATCTTGCAAAGTATTTATTCTATTTCTTTGTCGTCTGTGAAGAGTAGATAGATGATAGAACTTAGTATTGGCATCCCCTTCATTTAACCAATTAATACGTGATTTTAATTGCCAAAATTCTTCTTCTATACGTAGAATATGACTATATTCCAAGGTCAATTGAGTTTCTAAATTTTGTAAGAAAATACTAGTAGGATAATGTATAGAGGATTGTATCCCTAATAATCTAGCCAGTATCTTTCTTTTTTGTTGAAAAATATTACCAAAAGTATTATGATTCCAACGTGTGGCCACTACCTTAAAATTGTTAGTAGTTGCTAGTAAAGGCAGGTTATTCGACCAAGTGGCATGAACAAGTTGTTGGAATTATGGGTAAGATACCCACATCGTCTCAAATCTAAATATCCTATCTTGTATAGATTGAGGAGGTTCTAAGTTAATTAAGATAGGACAATGATCTGAGTGTGTACGAGGAAGATGTGTGACTGTCGTATTTGGATATAGGGTTAACCAGCCGTAATTAGCTAGGAAACGATCAAGCCTTTCTAGTATTGTACGACCATGCCTTTGCTTATTTGTCCATGTAAAACGACTACCTTGATAACCTAGATCAATAAAGCTACAGTAATGCATGCAATTAGCAAATTTATCAGCCCTATTATTGTTCATAGGAAGACCTCCAAATTTTTCTCTAGATTCTAAAACATCATTAAAGTCGCCCCCTATTAACTAGGGCATAGTAGTATTATCATGCAAATTACATAAGTTTTTCCAAAGAATATCAAGCAACTGATAATGACGACTAGCATATATTGCAGATAATATCCAAGGAGGTTTTGTGGGACTAACCTGGACCATGCAGTGTATTTCCTGATCAGAGATTCTCATTTCTGTGAGGTTGATATGAATTGCATTCCACAGCACCGGTAAACCACCTATGAGACCATTTGCAGTACCTTGTGCCATATTTTCAAAACTAAAGTCTTCACACAAGCTTGTATGGTCTTGCATGTGTGTTTCAAGTAAGATAACAAGAGTTGGTCTATGATTATCTAGTAAAGACCTAAAGTGTCTCCTAAATTCTGGATTATGAGAGCCTCTACAATTCCAGACTAGGAAATTCATGTAGGAATTAGGGTTTTCGTGCTGGACCATAGGAGCCTGAGTCATTGGATGGACAGCTGTGGATGTCGTCGGATCCAGACTCAGTGGAAGTTGAAGAAGCGTCGGAATGATCACCGTTGCATATTTCTCAACCTCTGGATTGGTTGTTTGACGAAAGTTGAGACTGCATGTTACCATTTCCGGTGGGCACTTTAGAATGAACTTTTTTTCGAAATGTTCTTTGAGGTTGTAAAATTGAATCCCTTTTAACCACCAAAATTTTGTTCTTGTCTCCCTCATCTCTGCAAGTATTACTGTCAGCTCCTCTCTTGTATCTCTGTTTAGTTCATGTGGAGATTGAGGAGGTGATTGTGTTGGACTGTTTGGTGGGGTGAGACTCTCTAGAGGACTTAGTGGGCTCGAGTAGGGGGAGAGTGGATTGAATGAGTCCAATGGTTGGAACCAAGGTGCATAAACCTGACCCATGTAATGAGGCGGATAGAAGGGTATGGGACTGACTGTTTGGTCCCAAGTCGGGCTCATCTGAGTCATCGGATACGGCCACTGCTGGTGAGTGGAACTGGAAGCCTGGTGTTCCATTGGAAGAGGAGTCTGGGTCGTGTACCATTGATTTTGATGGAAAGCTTCCATTCCCAGCCTCATTCCTTCTGTCACTATTTCTGCTAAATGTGTTGGATTTTGGACTAGTAACACCACCTCTTGGTTGTTCAGTTGCAGAGTGAATACTAGAGCATATCCCTGTAGTCCCATTTCCAACCAAGATTGGAGTGGGAGGTCCGTGGACATGAGCTGAGATGTGTAGATTAGGGGCGATGTGCTCTGAGGCAGTTGAGGTCCCACCATTATTAGATGAGGGAGATCAAAAAACTGGTTGTTGGTTTGTATATTTTCCCTCAGAAACTGACTTTGGCTCGTGCCTATGAAGGTTGGTCTCTGCATTGAGAATAGTAGTTGGTAATTCTTGTGGTTCAGTAGAAGGAGCAGTATTAGGTTTGGTTGTTTGGATGGAGTGGTTGTAGATATTAAGCAGTGAAGGAAATGAGGTAGTGGGTACTTCATCATGATCTTCACATGAAAACTCATCATATTGTTTGCATGGATTTTGGGGAAGTCTAGACTCAGAAGTAGACGAGGTTACTGTAGCATGCATGGTTGGTATTGTATTGTTTTGAGTTGGAGCCAACGTGTCTGGATTATGAGGAGAACTTCCTGAGTTGTTTAAACTTGATTGGGTTGATGATATAAGTAGATGGTGATATTGCAAGGACTGGTGAGGTGTCTTATAGGCCTGAGAAAACGTGTTATAACCAACTAAAGATGGGGAGTTTGGTTCAGATAAACTAGGCTTAGGGTCATTAGGAATTTGATTGGGCGGTGAGGTCGGCAGCCTATTAGGAGTATCAAAGTGGGCTTTTGCATGGTTCTTAGTTAGTATTGTTTCAGCACCTAGATGTTGTGGTATTGGGCTTTGGTAAAAGTTGTCAATCTATAAGTCTGAAGGCCCAACATTCGAAAGTGATTGGAATTTGTTGTTAAATTCCATAACGGGCCTTTGCAGTGTAACTGGCCTTGCAGAAGTGACCCGGCCCAGTACATCTGAGGTAGGGTTACAGAACTGACCTGCAAAGGGCTGTGCTGCTGGTGGCGCCGCCATTGTAGCCGCCTTCCCCTTGTCAAAGTTGGGATGTTTGGGTGGGTATATACTTTTCTTAGTGAAGGTCACTGTTTTCCATTCATTTTCCTTAACAGGTATAGCATCAGGGGTGATATTAGTTTCCAGGTGTTGTATTTTTTTGTTTTGTTCATTGGGAGCATGGACAACTTCAGAGCAACTGGTAGTAGGGTGCCCAAATCTTCCACAGTAGGTACATAGAAGATTTAGTCCTTCATAGAGAAGAGACTGTCTATGGTTCCCTAAATAGAGATGCGTTTTTAAAGGCTTCTCCAAAGGCACCTCAATGCATATGCGTGCATACCTTCCTCGTGTAGTAGATGAGGTACATGTATCTATCTTTAATAGTCGCCCTAACTTTGAACCAACCCTACTTAGTATTTCCAAATCGTAGAACTCTGTAGGCAGTTCAGGTAGTCGTACCCAAATAGCTGAGTAAGTGAGTTGTGTAGAGAAGGCTTTGAATTTTGGCTCCCATCTTCGTATAGTTAGGAAATGACTAAGAATAAACCTGTTTAACCAAAAAATGGGATTTTAGTCAAAGCTAGAATTTAGAAGAACTCGGGTTACTGATAATCAAGAAAATGAATAAAAAAGAAGTAATTCTGGATAACAAGATGATAATCAAAAGAAACCAATAAATCATTGTCTATTCCAATAGTATTTCGCGTCCTTACAACTGATCATACATCTCCCTTTTATAGATCCCTTTGGAAATATGTGTTTTTCTTATAATGAAGCCGTTATGAGTAATTAAAGACATTAAATGTTACGTTACACAATCATTACATTTAAAACATATTCTCTAACATATTCAGCATTCTATACCCATAAAATGACGTATCCGTACTCTTTTGCATTGTCAGATTCATTCCTTCGGATTCTCGAATATAACTGACTTAAATAGGTACGGGCGCCGTGCTACTTATCTGATGTCCCGTGCCTCTTCCTCCTTCTTTGCTCGTGTCTGTTTTACAATTCTTGAATCGTGTCTAATTGTGATTCGTTGACCATTTGACAAATCCACGTGTCCTGACACGTCACCATATATATAAATACAATTTTCCCCAATACAGATAGTCCCCCCACTTTCCATTTATTCATCAATTTGAATATTTGGGAAGTGGAATTCATTTAAAAGAGAATTTTTGTCACCATTAATGCTCTGACAGAATCGACGCTTCAATTGTCACTAATGCATTAGACACGTGTCATCCTCTTATTGGTTCTACTGTTTTGCAGCTCTTTCTTAGGCTTTCTTTTCGGCTTCTCTATTCACGAAGTGTCTTTTCCTTTCAGGCTTATCAACTTTTCTAATGTCGCTTCTTTTTCTTTTCTCAGCAACCATGGGTGTTGTGGAGACTGTGCCCAACTTCCTTGGTTGGGTAGGAAAATTGTTGAAGACCGCTCCAATGGAGGGTAGGTCGTGGAAAAACCTTTCCAACCATTACTGTTGGAAAGTAAAAACTCATGGTAAGAGTTTCTATTTTACCTTGTCTGTATATAAATATTTTATTTGTTCTAACTTTTATCCTTCTTTTTATCAGGATTTGCTATTCGAGGAGTCACTGCAAAGGCAATCATGGCTTCTCGTGACTCTTTGAGTACTCGTACCTCTTCAGCCCAAGATATATTCTTGGGTTCTTCAAAAAGAAAAGCTACTGAGGAAGAAGATTCAGAGGAAGAAGATGAGGGCTCCCTGGTGATGAGACCACGAGCCAGGAGACGTATCGTCTCTGATGACGAGGCTGAAGTCTCCCCTCATCTGTCTCTTTCCGAGCCTGTTGTTACTCCAGTTATCATTCCTGATGATGACGTCTCTCCTCACGACACTCGTGAGTCTATCGATCAACTTTTTGTTAGTGGTTTTGGTAGTGGAAACTTAGGACCTGTTCTAGACGAGCTTCCCTTATCTTCCTTTTCATCTCCTGTACCTGTGATTGCTTCTTTACCTTCATCAACTGTTGCTTCTGTTCCTTCTTCCACTGTTTTTACTCCTTCCACCGCTCCTCCTTTGGCAATTCCTCCACCTATCGTTCACCATACGGAGGTGGGCTCTTCAAGTAGGAGTACTGCTATGAGGAGCGTAACCATTGAGGTTCCTGCTAACAACAGCCTCTTGAGAAAGTCCGGTCAAGCTAATATGTGGCTCGAGCCTTTGATTGGCCCCATCGAGAAACCAAATCTTGAAAGCCATAGCAACCCGACTCTCATGAATGACATAGTGCATGCCACTTTAAAGGTATTTTTCTTTCCTACTTTTCTCCATTCTGTAAAAAATTTCGACTTTGGGATTCTTACTTCTCTTTTTTTTACGTAGGCCAATCTTATTGGCACTAAGCTGATGAGCAGAATCTCCCTCTTGGAGAAGGTAGCACGTGATTTGGAGAAGGCTGCTCATGATGCAGAGAAGGCTGCCCGTGATTACCAGTTGGAGGCAAACAACTGGAAGGAACAGTTTGACAGCGCTGAAATCGACATGGAGGATTTACAAGAGAGAAGAAGTACCTTAGAACAACAAGTACGAGCATTAACTTCGGAGCTGGCGGTTATCAAGGCTTCCTCGAGCCAAGCTGAGAAGGAAAAAGAACGCCTTGAATCCTCCTTTTAAGAACAGCTATCCAAGGCTAGCGAGCAGAATAGGGTATTAAAGGCTCTGTTGGTTCAAAAAGAGGTTTATGCTAGGGAACTTGTGCAAAACCTAACCCCGGCACAAGAGGAACTTCGAGTTTCTGTTGATAAGGTACGTGCTTTAGAGAGCTCACATGCTTTCCTTCAAACTTCTTGTAATTCTGCCTTGGCTGAGAATGAAGAGCTCAAAAGTGAGGTCGCTGCTTAGGAAAAGGATTATGAGATCCTTGAAGAAAAATTTGACGTTGAGGTGAGTTGGGCTTTTCTGAATTCCCGTCGTGATACCTTACTTGAAGTTGGGCAAGAAAGTTTTGACCTGGAGGCTGAATTAGCTAAGGTCAATGAAACCATAGAACAAGCTCAGCAACCGCAGGACTTCCCTTCACCTGTGATTGAAGCTCCCGTGGTTGAGGTTCATGCGGGTATCGCATCTCCTTCAAGCCCAATCGAGCCCACTGCTACAAGCCAAGTTGAAACTACCTCTGCTGAAGCCCTTACTCATGTCGAGCCTGTTGTCGTCGTTGAAGCTCCTGCCCAAGTTGAGCCCGTTGCTGTTGATGCTTCTTCTTCAGTTCCCACATCTTCTTAGAAAATTTATCTTGAATTCCTTATTTTTGTTGCAGGTACCTCTTTGGAAAATCGTGTTAGAAACCCTTGGCTTCATCTAAGGGTTTATTTTTAGAACGCAAGTCCCCAAGTCTTTTGTGGGGCAATTCTGTATAAACAATTTCACAGTTTTTTGATTAAGTTCGCACTTAATCTTAAGTATTTAAGAAGCTTTTGATGTTATTATCTTAGACTTCTGTTTATTCTATTCTTGACTTTATTTTTAAGTACTTATAAAATAGCTTGCATTTTTGCTCTTAAAAAATGCTTCTGTTAATCTCATGACTAAATAGTTTTAAACATGAGTTTTATAAAAGAGGGCCCTTTTATATTTCGACACTTAATGAAGAAGACGTCTCAACTTCATAATGGTGTTAACATACGATAAAAGGAATAGGAACACACATGTTTCTTTGGAATAACATTGACAAGTTTTTATTTTGAACCTTGACAAGTTTTGAATAACATCTTACATGTATTTGAATTACATCTATAACTTTCTCGTGACTGTTTTTTCTTGTAACAGATTTTTAAGAAAAAATAATTAACACGAGGTTTTTCTTTATAACCCGTTTTAGAACAATAAATGCAAGGTTTTTCTTTATAACCTGCTCTAGTACATAGCTTTTACCCTAACTACAATAAGGTTTTCTTTAGCCTTGGCTCATGACATCATGTGACTTTTATTACTCTGCACTTGACTTTTTCAGGCTTGATTTTTCTTCAATCTTCTCTGCCTTCTTTATATATACTTGTATCTGATAATCCATTTTATTTTAGTCTAACTTCCCTTGTTGCGTCAACCATTTCGAACAACAATGACAACATTCAGGGAAACCAAGAAAATCAAACAACCCAGCAAATTCAGGGAGATCCACAGAATAACAACGTACTGATTACTTCTCCACAAGGCTCTCCACGGCGGTCTCGTGAAGGCACTCCTGATGGGCCTCATACAGATGGACAAGCTCAATTCGAGAATGTTGAAACTATGGATGAGGCTTTACAAAAAATTATTGCTTCTCAAGTCAATAAAGTTCTTCAGGCTTTTGTTAGCCAATTACCTGTTGCACCACCCACACCCACACCAAATAATAACACTCTAGAGAACCCGCGTTCCGGATTCGTTAATTCAGGTAGTGGTGGAACCCCCAGCGAATCACAGGAGGGAGAACCAGGTAATTTAGTTAATTCTAATTTACAAAATTTAGTACTAACATTGCAGAAACAGCTCAAGGAGCAAAATGACCGCATAGAGCAAATACCCGGGGTGCCACCAGTGGTCAAAGGGGTAGATATGGATAGATATTCACAACAACCATGGAAGCCAAGTGTTGCTCCACTTCCAATTCCCAAAAAGTTCAAAATGCCTGATATTCCAAAATATGATGGAACGACAGACCCACGAGACCACGTGACTGCATTCACCACGGGCGCAAAAGGCAATGATTTGACTAAGCAGGAGATTGAATCAGTATTAGTCAAAAAATTTGGTGAAACACTCACCAAAGGAGCGTTAACATGGTATTCTCTTTTACCTGAAAATTTTATAAATTCTTTTGCTGAGCTTGTAGATTCTTTCATCAAAGCACACTCGGGAGCTCAAAAGTAGAAAAAATAATGGAGGATATTTTTAAAATCAAGTAGGGGGACTCAGAACTACTTAGGGAATTCGTGGACAGATTTAACGAGAAAGAATGACATTTCCATGTGTACCTGACAACTGGGCGGCTATAGCTTTCGCAAGTAATTTGAACGAAAAAAGCTCGGAAGCTACGAGGAAACTCAAGGAAAGCCTTCGAGAATTCCCCGCTACAACGTGGAATGATGTTTATAACAGGTATAGCACGAAGCTGAGGATTGAGGAAGATACTGTTCCACGATTTCAAAAAGAAGAAAAGGTAAGTTCAAGACGTTCAGAGTCCGAAAAAAGATACAGTAAAAACAGGTACGAGCCATACATGGGACCTGCGGGAAGAGACTCACGGTCAAAACAGGATAACCGGAGGTACGATCACAGATCAAGGAATAGAGAGTCAGGATCATCATCAAGATTTGGGAGTGGCCGAAGCGCACGTGAGCCACGAGACAATGATGGAGGTCTAAAGGCAAGGTTTGGCGGTTATAACTTCAATGTGAGCACTTCTGAACTCGTGGCTGTTTTAAGAAGTATGGGAGATAAGGTACGGTGGCCCAAGGAAACGGAACCAATTTGTTTAACCAAAAAATGGGATTTTAGTCAAAGCTAGAATTTAGAAGAATTCGGGTTACTGATAATCAAGAAAATGAATAAAAAAGAAGTAATTCTGGATAACAAGATGATAATCAAAAGAAACCAATAAATCACTGTCTATTCCAATAGTATTTCGCGTCCTTACAACTGATCATACATCTCCCTTTTATAGATCCCTTTGGAAATATGAGTTTTCTTATAATGAAGCCGTTATGAGTAATTAAAGACATTAAATGTTACGTTACACAATCATTACATTTAAAACATATTCTCTAACGTATTCAGCATTCTATACCCATAAAATGACGTATCCGTACTCTTTTGCATTGTCAGATTCATTCCTTCGGATTCTCGAATATAACTGACTTAAATAGGTACGGACGCCGTGCTACTTATCTGATG